CACAAATAACTTAGTGTTCTTTCTGGAAAATTCTTACAATGTTAAGGAAGAACAGGATATGGAGTGATGTTGACAACATTTCAAACTTGCAAAAATGGAGATAAGAGAGCAAAGGGAAGAAACATGAAAATGACAGTGGTGGTTACCTGCATGAGGGGGATAAGCAGATATTTAAATATTTCATTTAAAACATTTCTGTAATGAGAGTATATGAGCTAAGTCAATCATGATTTAAAAGTATGAAGAGATATCGGGGCTGAAGAGAGGATCAGTGTAAGAGCACTGGCTGCTCTAGCAGAGGGCCCAGGTTCAGTTCCCAGCACCCACGTGGGGCTAACAACTGTCCATGACTCTGATGCCAGGGGATCTGACGCCCCCTTCTGGCTTCAGTGGGCACTGCATGAAAATGGTATACAGACATACATGCAGGCAAAACACATACACATAAAATATAATAAAATAAATGTTTAAAAAGGAAAAATGAACCAAAGAGATGCTTCCTTTTTCTCCTCCTCCTATTTATTTATTAATCTATTGATTGATTGCAAAGCCTTTCTCAATCATTGTGCCTGGTATTAGCCCCTTGTATTTGTAGATATTTGTCTTTACAGATATCCATACCATGCTGTGTCCTGATTACCTATTGAAATTTTCATTTTCCATGAGGTCACACCACTTACCATGCCATGTGTGGTACCTCCTACTGTCCCTACTAGAAGATATTTGTTGTTCCAAAAGAGTTCCTCATGCACTACGAAGCTCATCACAGGGCCTGCTTACTACCAGCGTGCTCTTGAAGCTGTTCCAGCTGTGGAGGAGTCTGCCAGATTAAAGGAACACTATCCCCTCGATAAATTATAGATAGGAAAGAATTTTGCAGGGACACAGGTAAGGAAAACATATTGTTTTGCCTTTTACATATGGCAAATGTGGGCTTCTGACCCGCCTAAGGAGTCCACATTCTCCTTGAGACTTTGTGTCTTTGAACTTGATGTAGGTTGAAAGGAATAACCACTGAAAAACAAGCAGGGAAACTATAGGTTAAAAGGAGCGGAGAGCATTACCTGTTCTCTGGACAGGAGAAGACAGTAAAGATCAACATGACGTTTCAGGAAGATACGTTCTGTGGCTCGGAATCATACCACAAGCTCTAGTCCAAGTTACAAGCCCACCCAAAAACACAGCAACGTGCCTGTCTTGATATGTGCAAGACATAGCAAAATCCATGTTACCTGGAAAATGCCTTAGTGGTAAACTGGGATCAAATCCAAGTCACAAGAGTTAGAACATCCTGTCACCAACTGGCTGTGCATGCCACTTCGTGTCTTTCCCTCACACTGTGGCATGGGTCCAGACTCACATCAATGAAGCCTTGTGTTCATGTGCTAGGGAAGGATTGGATGAAGAAAGAGAGGAGACAGGAAGGGCTGGAGTGAATGTATATGACTTCACTTTAGTAATTACCATGATGACAGATGAGAAAGGAAGGCTTTGCTCATTTGCTGTAATTTGTGTAGAGTTCACAGAGAGAGGAAACAATGGAACAACCTTGAAACCCTCATGGTATCAGTGCATACATGGATGATGGGAGAGGCACCCAAACAGTGGAGAGGTATACAGTACTCAGGGATTATGAGGCCACAGAATATAAGATTAAAGAAGAGACATATTATTCATTGGGATAATTTTTGAAACAATGTTTACCCCAAGGAGATATAATCAATTCCAAGGATGAATCACCCTGTACATACTGGGAAAGAAAGTCTATGATGCTCATAGTAGTGCAGGTTTAATAACACCCCAGGTGGAGTGATTGAGCAGAGAAGCAAATGCTACTGCATCTGTTTGATGACATCTGTTAGTGCACACTGCCTGCATCTGTTTGATAACATCCGTTAGTGTACACTGCCTGCATCTGTTTGATAACATCTGTTAGTGCACACTGCCTGCATCTGTTTGATAACATCCGTTAGTGCACACTGCCTGCCTCTGTTTGATAACATCCATTAGTGCACACTGCCTGCATCTGTTTGATAACATCTGTTAGTGCACACTGCCTGCATCTGTTAGATAACATCCATTAGTGCACACTACCTGCATCTGTTTGATAGCATCCATTAGTGCACACTGCCTGCATCTGTTAGATAACATCTGTTAGTGCACACTACCTGCATCTGTTTGATAGCATCCATTAGTGCACACTGCCTGCATCTGTTAGATAACATCTGTTAGTGCACACTGCCTGCATCTGTTTGATAACATCCGTTAGTGCACACTGCCTGCATCTGTTTGATAACATCCGTTAGTGCACACTGCCTGCATCTGTTTGATAACATCCGTTAGAGCACACTGCCTGCAAGAAGCCAGCAACAGACATAAAAGTACCTTGATTTTGAGACCAGCATGGAAAAAGACCTATGGGATATTCAGAGAGTACATATGTGTGATTAGTGTAAGATCTAACAGTAATTAACTATAACTCATGATGGGTAATGCTTGGTGTGTCCTGTCATATTGTAGATCCATCTGTAAAGCAGGATCTACAATAAGAAAATAGCAATAGAGAGTAAAGAACCAGTGTGTGACCCCCTCCTCCCAAGACTCAGGGGCCATCGTGGAAGAAGAGGTGGGAAGACCGTAAGAGGCGGTGGTCAGAGGAAAAAGGACACAGGACCATTGCACTCACGAATCCCAGCGGCTGTTGTCCGAAGAAGACAGCACAAGATCAAGCCAGTCACCATTCCACACAGATGGGAGGGGCTCGGGAGTATTACCTCTAAATGAGGAGCTATGGACAGCTGGCTTCTGGGGCAAGGAGAGTCAGTGTTCTTTAAGGATTTGGTCCTTAGTAGGTCAGCTGTGGATAGTCCCACACTCACGACTATATGGGCAGTGTGACTTGGACTTGGCGAGTTATGAAGAAAAAGGAAAAAGAAAAAGCACATGAAGTTGAGAAGGAGTGAGACGGGTCCTGGAGGAGTTGGGGGAGGGGTGAGAGGCGACTAGGATCAAAGTAAGTTGTATGCATATATTAAACTGTCAGAGAACTAACACAAATATTATTATTGAAAAAAATCAGTGTGTGAGCTCGGAAATGAGCAATCATATAGAAAAGGAGGAACCTGAGACCAAACTGAGCAGCCCAGAGTGAGGTTAACATCAATAGAGTTAAGCTTCCAAAAGTTTTTTTCATGGTATGCAATAAAATACTAATTTTCTTGATTAATATTTACAAATAACCATATTATAAAGAAGATCTGCATTACTAAGAAAAACTGAATATTGTTAAAGAAATGTAACTTGTCATTAGTAGACACTGAAACAGGCTATGGGAAATCACACCGTGATCATGCAGTTTCAATTCTCCAGCAATTTCATGTAGATCCAAAAAATTTAGTTATGATAAAGCTTTAGATGAGTAAATTACTTTATAAGTATGAGCCAAAGAGCTAACGAGATGGTACGTGTAATTTTTGAAAACAGATCTTGTTCATTACAATGGAGTGTCAGAAAAAAGCAGATGTTTAATTGGCTGTGCGTATCCATTAGTAGGAACCGTGAGGCGAGGAGAAAGAGAAACACCTGGGTGTTTCTAATGCTGAAGCTTTAAACCCTCAAGATAAGATGTGGGCAGAGGGATCCCTGTCGCCTGCACACTGCTGTTTCCAGCAAGGCTTCTGGAAGTCACTGCATGCGCATTGTGTGATGTCTAGAAAGAGTGGAGCTACAGTCAGTGGGTAAGGTGCTTGCCGCCAGCCTGCTGACCTGGATTCCATCCCAGGACCCGCATGATAGAGCACTGGCTCCCACAGACTACCCTCTCACTGCTACACTCATGCTGTCGCTGTGTGCCTCCCCCAGATACGTAAATAAATGCATCAAAAAGGTACTCGGAGTGAGTGTGGTCATACACAGGAAACTGCCAAGTGTCCATGTGACCCCATCTGTGACTCCACTTTAGGGGCAGGTGGACATGTATAAAGGTGAGACAATTGAATCACATTTGCTGGCTCTTTGGGTGGAGAGAATTCCTGCTCCCAAATTCCTAATGGCCAATTGCTGTGAGCATTTCAAGAAAGATCTCTTGAGAGATGCTGAGTTCAAGCCAGCATCTAGTCTTTTTATTTATTTTTTGATCACTTCTTCATCATCTTGAGATTATTAAACCAATTCCCCGAATGCTATTTTATTCCATTTCTATTTCTAACAAATAGTTTTAAAATTCGTATTGTTTGGGGAAAGCAATAGATTGTGGATGTCTTTGTGTTATACCCTTTCTGCTTAATGTGCTTTTAAACTCAAGACCTTTTCAAGCCATCTTCTCTACATGAAGTACCTTTCATTGAGGCAATTACATTTTTATTTTTGGGACATTTGCATAGAGGCAACTAAAAAGGGATTTCAATGAAGGCTATGGCTCTTACGCAACCCTCACTTACTTGATTTAATTAGGATGTTCAAAGAAAATGTCAGACACGATAACAGTGACTTATACTTAGGGAGAAAAATTAAAGTGATTGGAGCATCCTTTGGGGACATTTCCTCAAGTCTGCATGCTAGAATGTTCCTTGAGATTCTAGAATTATGTGGGAACTTGACCCACTCTCTTTCCATTGGTAAAATGCAAGGGAAATGGAACCTGCCCCTGGCTCCCTACTTACTGCTGGCCATATTCAGATTGCTGAGCGTGCTCTGATCGTTCACAGCATCTTTTTTAGAGTCGCTATTTTGGTTAAAATAGCACTGGTAAAAGCCAGAAGTGATTCTGAGCATTACCGAGCTATCCAAGGCGCTGCCTCTCACACACACAGCATGAATTCATTCTGTCTTGTCAGGTCTGCCTTTCATGCAATGGGGTGGGTGGTAAAAAAGACTTCTACTTTGGTGTGGCTGCATGTTTTCCAGGACCAAAGTCACGAAAGTCAGAGCGTTTGCTTGTTTGCAATGCCTGCAGGAGGACTCTGCCCCTGTGCGCAGGAGCAGGCAGCCCCACCACTCACCGGCAGGGCAGGATCCTCACCACATCATTGGGCTTGTACCCTTCGATGCAGACAGCACAGTTATCAAAATCAGACTCTGTTTCCTGCAACAGAAGAAGCAGAAGAGCCGACTTTAGCATCCGTCCTGAGCAAACACTGTCATAAACCAAAGGCGAGCTTGCCTGGAGCCAGCCTCTCAGCAGCATTACCTATTTCTTAATCAATAATCCACCAACTGGCTTAGTTCCCACCCTCCCAAACTTCACCTGTTGTTTCCACTCAGAGGGCTTTTGTGAGGGAAACTCCATCCCCATGTGGCATTCCTAAAGTGTTGTAAATGACAATTATAGGTGACACAAAGTCCCAAGAGTGAGGAATGATGTTCATATGAAAGATTTATAATATACAAAGTCCTCTGGAATCTAAAGTGTGTATTAAGAGTAAATACAAATGGAGTTTAATTTTTTTTCTGTATGCAACCCTAAAAGAGGCACCTCATGGTTTCCTTATGCTATCATGCTGGCACTTATTACTCTCTAGTTGAGGGGGAAAGATACTGATGAAAATAAATGGCACTTCTAGATTTAGTTTTTGTGTGTGTTCATGTGAGGGCACCTGTGTGTGTGTGTCAGATCTGTTCTCACCACCACCACCACCACCACCACCACCACCACCACCACCACCACCACCATCATCATTTTTTTTTCCGCTAACAAGAGTTTTATTAAGATAAAAGGGACAGACGAGTGCTCAGGCCTGTAGAAGAGACACGTGTGTGGAGAAGAAGAAGAGCCATCATCATTCTTACTATTGATATTATTGAGATAGCGCCTCTCACTGCACCCCAGGAATCCTCCAGTCTCTATCTCCACAAGCAAGTGTCACCACATTTGACTTTTCTGTGAGTGTTGGGGCTCAAACTCAGTTAGGGCAAGCGTTTTACCTGTCTTCCCACGCTCCTGGTTATCATTTTAAATGAATTTTCTCTTGTTAATCTCGAAAGCATTTTCATATTATTTAAACTGATAACAAATAACTTATGAGAAAAATCAATTGTTCAGACAGAGACAACACCTGATGTGCATGTGAAGGTCAATTCAGTACCAAGTCTCCAGGGGACGCTAAGCCCATGTGCTGTACTGTAACCCATTGTTCTAAACGACTGGGCATCTTTAGAGCCTGTAGGCTTGGGCTGTACCCCTGTTCATCCTTCCTGGAGGTGTCTTATGGCCTTTGGCTTCTTGTAACCCTTCTATAGTGAGGGAGGCTGGTGAAAGGATTTTAGGTTTCTAAGCCCTAGAGTTCAGGTGAGCTAAATATCATTTACACATTTACACACTCTAAACTTCTGTGGAGAGCACAACTCAGGGTATAAACCCACCTTCTTTCCAAGGACTTTTGAAAAAACTTCCATGGGGTCACACTAAGAGTAACTCTTCTGCTTTTGTTTTCTGAACCACTTGGAGTAAGGTAAGCAAATACTGATCGAAATATCGACCTTTTGTTTTGGTTTCCTGTTTTTTTTTTCTTTTTGTACTGATGACCAGACAGCTTCAACCTAAATTTAAGGCCAGTTTTGTCACATGTTTCACGTAACACCTTTGTGTTCTCATCTCACCCAGACTTTGAATGTTTTCTTGTAGTTTATATTTTTCTGAGACAGGATCTATGTAGTCCTGGCTAATTAGAAACTCACTATGTATACTGGGCTAGATTGGAACCCCCAGAAATCCACCTGCCTCTGCTTCCTGAGTGCTGGGATTAAAGGTGTGGGGTACCACACCTGGCTTCTTGCACACCTTTTACACCTTTTAAAGCCCTTCTTTATTGTACACAATGCTCGTTTCACTATGACATTTCCGTGCATGTGTATCACACTCTTCCACTTCCCACTAATCTCTCCTACCCCCCACCCTTTCCTCGGCTTGTCTTGTTTTTCTCAAGTAGGAACCCTTCTACTTATAAGTTCTTCCGTAAATTCTAGATTCTACATATGAGAGAAAGTGTGGTATATCATCTTTCTACACCTGACTTAATTTTCTTAACATGATGGTATCTTGCTCCATTTATTATCTTTCAGATGACATAATTTCATTCTTCTCAATGCCTCAATAATTCTCCACTGTGTATACACACCACATTTTCTTTATTCACTCATTTGTTGATGGGCACTCACGCTGGCTGTACAACTTGACTATTGTTGCACACTTGACTTCAAAATTTCTCATGTTTGGTTGCCAACACACTGCACGTATTTTATAAACACTTAATGTCTTTAATAAAAACATTCTAAGCACCAGATATGCATAGACAACACAGGTTCACATCTGTCTTCCCTTCCCTTCTCTCTCTTCTACTTCAGCTGTCAGAAAAGACAAGAGTTTCCTCACCCAGAAGGAAAAGGGGTTCTCACCTTGTCGCCCTTCCTGATGGTCCTGACCTGGAGCTTGCTGATGGCTTTTTTTGCTGCATCTCCCAGTCGGCGCTGAAAAATCGAAAGCTGCTCGTTAACAACAAAGATGGGCCATTCCTCTCTTACATTCTCACGGCATTTCATAAACCAGGGCAGCTCTCTCTGAAATCGTACGCATGTTGTGAATGTTAAGGACACTGGGTGGAAGACACAGGACCTGGGCATTTGCCGAGAGTGGTTCTAGGAATCCAGGTCCATGAGAACACTCTGTTGGAGAGAGACCCTTGTTCCTAGTGTTAGGTTCACATGACATAGAGTTAACATAGGAAATAAAAACTTCCTAGCTTCAGTGTACATCTATACAGACTGGCAACTAGCAAAAATAAAGTATTCCCTAACTTGTTGAGGTAGCTGTCTAGTATGTGACTTGAGTGAACAGCCCCTCCTTTTCACACCAAGACCTTCTTTCGGCTTGTGTCTGTCAATTTACTCATATAGACCAACTGATGTAGCCTGCAGTGTACACTCAATCACCTTCTTCCTGTGTGTGTGTTTGAGTACGCTGGACATAGAGGAAGGAGATGGCTTAGGAGGTAAAGGTTTTTCCATGGAAGCATGAGGATCTGAGCTCAGGGTCCCAGGACTACAGGAAGAGCAGCTGTGGCACCTCAAGTGTGCAACCCCGGAGTTGGAGAGTGGAGACAGGTGGATCCCTGGAGCACTCTGACCAATCTAGCCAATCAGTAAGCGCCAGGTTCAGTGAAGAGCCTTTGTCTCAAAAAATAAAGGTGAGATCGACAGAGAAAAGTCCATTTGCCTCTGGTCTCCACATGCATTTGAGTTATGTGAGTGTTCACACACACATAAATGTGCACACGCCCACATGAACACATTTAACACACACCCACACCCATACACACACACACCCACACACACACCCCCACACACACACCATATAATTTAGCATTTAGGTTAGCAAATAATTGCAAATCACATACTTGGGGAACCATTATCACGCATGTCAAGAAAGAATACATCATGCCCCAATTTTGCATAGGGAAAATTGCTGTCCTAATGAGCCTTCAATGGTGAGGCAATGAGGAGAAGGGTGTGGGAATCAAATCTTAATCTGTTGAGGGAAAATGGGATTTCTGTGTGTGCTTGCAAGCATTTCCTGAATGGTTTGCCTTACTCTCTTAGCATGTGTGCATCTGGCCTGCAGTAGATGCATCTGCAGCAGTGAAATGTAGTTGAAGGATTCAAGTTAGTAGGGATTGGTTTTGTTCAGATCATGATGACAGTAATAATAATGTTCAGTTTTCTTTTATGAGTTATAATTTTTTAAAATTTAAATTGCCTTTGTTTTCCTTGTGCTGGGCATTGAATCTAGGGTCTCATGCTTGCTGAGCAAGCACTGTGTTGCTGGGCTACACCCCATACTTTTCTCCTAAGAATACTGAACACCCTAGCTGTCTTAGCTACTTCCCTATGGCTGTGAGGAAACACCATGACCAAGGCAACTTTGGAAGGAAGTGTTTATTTGGGCTAATGGTTCCAGAGGGATAAGAGTCCATCACCATCACGGAGCGGATACCTGGCAGGTGGCAGGCATGGTAGCTGAACAGGAAGGAGAGAGATCACCCAAAGAATGGTGCAAGGCTTTCACCTTCCAGAGCTTACCTCCGCTGACATAGTTCTCCCAACAAGGCCACATTCCCTAAGCCTCTCCTAACAGCACCACCACCTGGGGGCCAGTTATCCAAATGCCGGAGAATAAGGACACATCGAATTCAAACCACCATAGCAGTGAAGCCTACAATGTCTGCGGCACCGCTGAAGTGTTTTACTTCCTTACCCTTCCTGCAGCCCCACGAGAAAGGTAGATTCTCCAGAAAGCACTACAGTTTACAGAGCTTGGGCAACTATACCACAACACAGCAAGACAGCAGTCCCACCCTGCAGCCAATCAGCCTGTTGACCAACCAATCAAAACCTCAGAGCTTGGGCAACTATACCACAACACAGCAAGACAGCAGTCCCACCCTGCAGCCAGGCATCAAGCCACTAGCCAATCAGCCTGTTGACCAACCAATCAAAACCTCTCAAGTCCTTATAAATCACTTTTCTTTTATTTAAATAAGTAAGCAGAAAGTGAGCTTTTCTCCATGTTATTTCATTTTCCTCACTGATATTTTTTTCTAGCCCTCCAGCCATTAATGGCAACACACACACTCACACACACACACACACACACACACACACACACACACACACACACACACACACAAACACACACACATACGTTTTTGTTTTGTCCTTTATTTTTTTGCAACAAGGTCTTACTACATAACCTGGGTTGGTATTGAACTCAAAATCCACTCAGTTTCCGAGTGTTAGGACTGGAATCATGTACCACCATGCATTGCACATATTTTTAATTGTATTTTCTGTCAAATGCTGATCTGGGTTTTAGAAGAAACGTTTCTGAACTATAATTTCCCAAACTCCTACCCTCTGTAGCTCATCACCTAGAAGGATCTCCATAAAAGATGAGTAAATAAAACATTCAAACAATAGATTTTTTAAAGCATGGGAGAACTTTAGCTAGGAAAGGGGAGTTACAAAGGAACTAAGAGCAGTGGTTCTCAGCCTTCCTGAGGCCATGAACCTTTAACAGTTCCTCACCTTGTGCTGACCCCCAACCATAAAATTATTGTCACTGATATTTCATACCTGTAATTTTGCTACTGTTCTGAATCATAATGTAAATCTCTGTGTTTTCTGGTGGTCTCACGTGACCCCTGTGGAAAGGTCTGGGGGTCGCGACCCACAGGTTGAGAACTGCTGAACAGCAGTGATATATGCTGTAAGGTGGTAAAGTTGAGTAACCAGTCCAGTGAAGCCTCCAGTCTTGACCAGTAGCTACCATGGACTGGTAAAAAAGAAAAACACTGATGTCATTTTGTTCTCAGGAGCAAATGTCACAGGTCTGTAGGGCATTACATTTAAAAGAAGACATCTGAACCTCAGATAAAGAGACGTTGGACATCTTTCTTTTTTTTTTTATTTTTAAAAACTACTTAAATTCTTTTATACATATGAGCCTTTTGCCTATAAACATGCCTGTGTGTCCCTGGTGCTCATAGAGGCCAGAAAGAGGACATTGCATCCCCTGGAACTAAAGTTATATAAATGATTGTGAGCTGCCATGTGGGTGCTGGGAATTTACCTTGGGTTCCCTGGAAGAGCAGCCAGTGCTCTTAACTATTGAACCATCTCTTCAGCACCATGAAATGTTAGTTATCTTTCTTTATCAAAGTTCAGAAAAAGCTGCAATTATGTTTAGTTGGTATTTTAGAATATTGTGTTCAATTCAGTCACTTAAATTTTTTGTTTGCTTTTTTTGTTTTTTTGAGACAGGGTTTCTCTGTGTAGCTTTGGAGCCTGTCCTGGAACTCACTCTGTAGCCCAGGTTGTCTTCGAACTCACAGAGATCTGCCTCTGCCTCCCGAGTGCTGGGATTAAAGATGTGCGCCACCACCGCCCGGCTTCAATTGTTTATTTCCGATGAGTGAGAGAGTTTAAATTGAGTAGAAAATCCATCTCCCTCCTCCCTCCTCCCTCCCATCTTGTAGCTTATACTACAATGCAGTGCACCAGAAGTAATCCATCTCCCTCCTCCCTCCTCCCTCCCATCTTGTTTCCTATGTTAGGGTCTTCCTAGGGAACCCAGGTTGGTCAAGTATTTCCCATCACCCTGTATCAGCCTCCTGAATGCTGAGATTGGAGTATGTGCCCATGCACCACCACATTTGGCTAAAAATGATGCTTTCAAAATTATATTTCACTTAAATCAATTTTTTAGCAAATGGCATATGCCCCTAAACATGAACTTATAAGGTAAGTTAGGAAAAAATGCCTTTAAATTTTGGTTGTGTATTTATCTTTACTTTTCTCTACATCTACATAGAAATTGGATAGTTTTTGTTTGTGGTCTTGGAGTTTGAACCCAGAGTCTTATACATATTGTGCACACAGTTAAGGAGCTATACTGTGACCAATGTTTGAAGACATTCATTCCTGTTCTCTCTTCCTAAGAGAAAAGGCTCTTCCTATGCCCTATAAAAGGCATTGCAAGCTGCCTTTCTTAAAAAAAGATAGTGAAGTCCAATCAGCAAGCTGATGTTAAGGTACCCGGCATCATGACTAACAAGACAGCTGGTGGTTAGGGAATTAGAAAGCTAGGCTCCACGCCTAGCATTTGTATGACCTCAGTCCAGAGGGTCCAGTGATTTCCTGAAGGGTCCAGTCACTTAGAAGGCGGGCTTCCTAAGTTCCCAGGACTAACAGCCCAGGAGACAGTGAACTAGAAAACAGAGAAGTCATAGACACGAGGCCTTCTAGGCCTCCCCTCCCGGAAGTTACCAGAAATCAAGTGGTTCTCAAAGCTGTGGCAGGAACTGAGCAGCTGCTTTGGCAGACACTCAGGGGTTAACTGAAAGCAAGGTAAAGCAAGGCACCAGGTCTGCCTTCATTTTATTTCTGGCACCATTCAGGCCTTAAACTTTGGGCCACGTCCTGATCGGTCTGCACACAGGTACATTAATTATTTAAGAAGTCTTCGTCTGAAGCTGGTAGCCCTTCCCCTTTAAGGAAAAGACGCCGAGATAAGAACCACTAGGATCTGGAGCTGGAAAGATGGCGTGGTGATTGCAGCTGAGCAAGCGTAAAGACCTAAGTCTGGATCCTCAGCAGTTAGGGAAAAAGCTGGGTGTGGTGAGCATCTCTAATGGGAGTGGAGTGGAGTGGGGGATGGGGAGATCTAGGCAGGGATCCCTGGCCAGGCAGCCTGATTGAAATTCAAAATCTAGGCTCAGTGGGAAACCGTGCCTCAAAAATTAAGGTAGAGAGAAACAGAGATGGAAATGGCAACATCGGTCCCTGGCTTCTGTATGTGTTCTTACAGGCAAATGCCAACAAATACTACACACATGTACCCTGCTCCTCCGTTAGCCACTGAGATTTGCAGAGACATCATACATAATAGCTCGTGAGTCTTTCCAACTTCCTGT